TGTTAACACCGTTGGGAAGGGAAATTACTATCAAGAAAGGGAAAGTTCACGCCCAGAAAGTGGAAATGATTCCGTTTTATCGTACAGCTTAGTACATGTAGTAAGCCGTTCTCTTAGTCATGTTGTAGGTTAGGATCGAGGTAAACAGCTGAAGTGGAATAGTCTGCAGTGTCCTTAGTTTTAAGCTCGGGATGGAATATGCGATCGAGGTAGTTAATAACTTTCTTGTTATTAAAAGGCACCACTTCGGCGATACATCTGCATGTGAAACTGACGGACTCGGCTAGGATTTTGTAACGAGCCCTAAAAAGCCCATCAATTAAGCCAGAATCATATGAAAACAAAAACAGTTCAGCCAGAAGAGGGCACAATTTTTCCATAGGAATGCGTACAATCTGCTGGAAAATCTTGCCATGGAACTCAACAATGATATTGTGAACCAGGAACCCATTTTTCTTATACTTTCATCAACAGATACGCTGACGAAGTTTGTTCATTAGAATAAATCAGTCAATTTACTGCATGTAGCTTCAAATAAATAATATTTACAATCAGTTTCCCTTTGAGACAGTATCTGTTGTAGTTAGCGTTAAGTTAGCACTGAATTGTGTGTATACAGCCGTAGTGTTAGCATCTAGAGATCTAAGCCAAGGAGATTGTAATAGAAAAGTACTCGACAAAGACCGAATGCTGCTCAGCTGTATTTAATGAGATAGTTCTATAAAAAAACAATACAGAATTTATAGTTTGTACTTAAATATAAAGTCTTTCTTGATTGACACTTAAACTATATCGATGAGAGCTTCAAACGAGGATCATATCGTTACGTAATTCTTAATCATTTGATGAATATAAACATCTAAAACCCATGTACCGTATTAAACTTTCAATGAGAAACTACAAGTGTACCGATGAACCTTTCCTCCAGGTATAACATGGGGTACAGACATTTATACGGTGCATTATATATTTGAAAATAATCTTTTCACTGTGCAAAGTACATAAATAACGGCGTACACAGATGCGTACTATTAGAACACATACGGGTATTTTTATAGTAGATATCCGGGTTATTTTGTGTTTGATTTCGTATAGCCTTACGCTGTACGTAGTATCTATGTAAGAAAATATATACAGTGAACCTAAATAGCGGTTATATAATCTACCCCTGGTGTTATCATAACACTTAAAGTCTATCTCTCTTATCACAGTTTATAAATAAATGAAAGGCGTATGCAAACCTTTGGCTCAGCTGCAGTGTGTTTATTAAGGGAGTGGTGAATCAGACGGGTCTGCTACGGATAAATACTTCATTAAAACAAGCCCTGTTCGCAATGTTAACAACATTATAGACTTTAGATGTTAATCACTTTCTAAAATGCTCTTTGAAAGATGAGAGATGAATTGTAGCGCCATACACTGAACCCACGAGTCTACAGAGCGCACGTCTCGAGGTCCACCTGACTACAGCATACGGAAATACAGGGTAACATCTTAATATCAATGTTATTGTACTAGAAACAAAAATTCAAACTAAAATATTTAATTTGGTTTTGTTATTGGATTGAAAAAGGTGCATGACTCGAGCTGATGAGGCTTGAATCTTCTAAGCTTTGTCTCATCCTAAACTATAATGTTGTCCTTGCTTCAGTGCTGCGGCCCTCTCCACCCATCGTGCTTCATGCTGCGGCCCTCTCCACCCATCGTGCTTCATGCTGCGCCCCTCTCCACCCATCGTGCTTCATGCTGCGTCCCTCTCCACCCATCGTGCTTCATGCTTCGTCCTCTGTTCTCTCTCTCTGTATATATGTATGTCTTTGTATCCTTGCCTCATACTTCGCCCCCCTCTCTCTATTTATACTTGTATCCTTGCTTCATGCTTCGTCTCACTCTTATATATATTTGTGTCCTTGCTATGCTTCGCACCACTCCACCCACACCACACACTCTTACTTCATGCTTCGCCCCTGCTATATATGGTTCCCCCTATATATACATACACTGTACATGTATATATTTACATTTGCATGACATTGTCACTAGATAACCTTCTTAAAAGCTGTGTCGTTGATGTAACTTTAAATTGCAAATCGAGACACAGTTCTTAGCCAATCAGCACGCGAAATACATTGTACGCTGCTCCAGTTATTGAACAAAGTGGAGACTGACGATAAGGCGGGAATTTTAAATTTCAAATATTTATTCAAAGTTAAAAAAACAAAAACAAAATAAAATTGAAAGGCGGAGAAAATGTAAATACAAGCATTGGAATATTTTTTTGTATGACAATTATAACTTATTGAATGACACCTTTCCAAGCAAATACATCACAATGCGCAAGCGCATTATGTTGTTTGCTGGTAAAGCTTCGTTATTCAAATATATCATAAATGTCATACAAATCAGTTCAATGCTTAAATATCGTTGTATCCTTGCCTCATACTTCGTTCTTCCCGTTCCTCTCTCTCTCTATAGCCCTATATCATTGCTTCACGCTTCCTCCCAGTCATATATAATATATCATTGTATCCGGTTTGGCGCTAACCCCCTACTCTACGTACTTCACGTTAACATGCTAATGATGATAATCTACATCCAATTTGATACTTCAAAAAAGAAAAAACATTAGTCATAATCCTTGGAGGATTAGCCTTTTTGCTTGAGATATATCTAAATTACATAACTGGATCACAACTTCATTTCAAATTGGAAGAGTAAGAATAGTTTGAAGAAGCCCAGCATTAATTTGATAATTTATCTGATTGTATTCGTACGTATACTTGTATAATATGACGGAACGAATATACATATGCATTGTACATGCATATTTCAGTTTTATTTCTATGCTCTACATGAACTTTCTATACACCGACAACGGCCGAAATCGATCGACTTTTTCCGATCTTGACCGGGAAACACCGAGGTTTGATAGCAATGTGCAACACTGGCTTTTGAAAAGTGATAGATGATTAAATAAATACATATTTTAATCTCATCTCACTACATCTAACCCGAAACATGCCTGTTAATGGTTTTAGGAAATTCCTACTTATACTTTTCCATGTTTAAGCCTTAATGCTATTTCTGCCTGCTCCTGCACAGTAACATGTACTGAGAGAACGAAGTACCGGGACAATTGCTGATTGTTTAGACAACGCCTCTCGCCACCTGTAATTGTTTCTGACTACAGGCAGATATCTGGGGATAGCGATAAGCCATCAGATTCCGTTTAATATGAGGGTGACTGAAGTGGCAGGCGCGCGATGACCTTTTAGATAGCAGTGGGTAAAGCCGTATAGACTTTCTGTATAGTAAATTAAACATTGCATAACTTCTTTTGACTGTATATGCAGTGTGCACAGCTTGATCAGTGAGGGTGGTCCTGTGAAAAAACACGTCCCTAGACGAGTCTTGCTTAGGAGTTATAATGTTAAACTCCCTGCCGCACACACAACAAACTCCGTATTGCACACACAACAAACTCCGTGCTGCACACACAACTAACTCCGTGCTGCACACACAACAAAATCCGTGCTGCTCACACAACAAATTCCGTGCTGCACACACAACAAACTCCGTGCTGCACATACAACAAACTCCGTGCTGCACATACAACAAACTCCCTGCCGCACACACAATACACTCCGTGCTGCACACACAATGAATTCTGTGCTGCTCACACAACAAATTCCGTGCTGCACACACAACAAACTCCGTGCTGCTCACACAACAAACTCCGTGCTGCACACGCAACAAACTCCGTGCTACAAACACAACAAACTCCGTGCTGCTCACACAACAAACTCTGTGCTGCACACACAACAAACTCCTTGCTGCTCTCACAACAAACTCCGTGCTGCTCACACAACAAACTTCGTGCTGCTCACACAACAAATGCCGTGATGCACACACAACAAATTCCGTGCTGCACACACAACAAACTCCGTGCTGCACACACAACAAACTTCGTGCTGCACACACAACAAACTCCGTGCCGCTCACACGACAAACTTCGTGCTGCACACACGACAAATTCCGTGCTGCACACACAACAAACTCCGTGTTGCTCACACAACAAACTCCCTGTTGCTCTCACAACAAACTACATGATGCACACATAACAAACTTCGTGCTGCTCACACAACAAACTCCGTGCTGCACACACAACGAATTCCGTGCTGCACACACAACACACTCCGTGCTGCACACACAACAAACTCCGTGCTGCTCACAAAACAAAATCCGTGCTGCTCACACAGCAAATTCCGTGCTGCACACACAACAAACTCCGTGCCGCTCACACAACCAACTCCGTGATGCACACACAACCAACTCCGTGCTGCACACACAACCAACTCCGTGCTGCACACACGACAAACTCCGTGCTGCACACACAACAAATTCCGTGCTGCACACACAACAAAATTCTTTCCTATACAAACAGCGTACATTGATTACATACATTCTACAACCGAAGCTATAAGCGTGTTTGTATAGTCCTTTTTGAAAACCGTTCTCTATAAAATAATATATAAAGTAACGTTATTATCAACTTATTTGTTTCTCTATTATTTTGTCAGCCAGTCAGATATTTCAAAAGCGGTATTGCTCCCAGTCAGTCCTGTTATGAATCATCATGGCTTTATGATAATAAACTTATATATAAGATATAGTAAAAAAATAATTAGATTATATTTCAAACCGCAAACGAATATCGGTATATTGTACTGTATTACTACACAAAGAAATACCGCCCGCATTATGTATTGCATATTTATATCACACCTAATTGCATTATACTATATAGAATTACTCAGCATCCATAATGATACCATACTGAACCAATGACAGTCGCTATAGAAATGCACCATTTCGCCCTGTAGTTATTATAACATTGAAAAGTTTTATTCACGTCTCTTAGCTGTTCCATCCAAACGATACACGAGGATACATTTCCCCACTAGACAATTCCAACACGCAGAAAGACGGCTATACACAATGTTATGAAGAAAAATGATGTTTATATCGATAGTGTGTGTTGATTTATGGCTGTCTGAGCTGTAAACTAGTTCAATATCACTTCCTGGTTTGAGTAGGAGGTTTATAGAATTCTGGCACGAACTCTTGGAAGTAAAACGCGTTGAAATTTAAACACTTGGAAGGTTTGAGAATCTTCAAGAACTTGGCACGTACGTATCGTATGTACAATGCAGTAGACATTTTAAGATGTTTCAAATTCGACAATTCTCAGAGAAGGTATTCAAAATAGAAAATTTGGAGAGGTATAAGCGACCACACACGGATGTGCACGTAAAAGCACGGGAGAATGAGGAGATAGGAAAAGTATGACTAACGTTTTACCGGCCACCACATACATTGCACGTGGTTTGCCTGCGAGAGTATGTTTATAAGGGGATCCCTTAGATAGGATGTAAGCAGACTGTCGGAAGGGTTAACACCGCTATATGATACATAGACTAGCCGTGCGTGCATCGCTCTCTCACACAGGATATTTTCTACTCCAAAACCTCCGAAACAATCCTACGCCATGATTCTTCCGCGAAATCACTATCATCAAAACCCCAGTAGTCACGGCCTATAATGTTGTAGTTATCACTCCATTATACAATAAGCATATTTCTGCGTGATATTTCGATTACGATTGTGCGAGGGAAATATAGTTTATTCTGTTATCTCTAGCTAATAACATGACTGTTGAAAGAAATTGTGAGAATTTGTCTAAAAAAAGTGCCAGAAGTCAAAAGAGTTACACGCGTTCTCATCACAGACAGATGTTGTCAGAGGAATCCATGACGGATTCGACCGGACACTTAAAACCGGGGTATCCTTCCTCTGGTCACCACGGCAGTCAATCTTCCGGGTTACAACCAGGCTACCATTCCTCTAACCACTTGCAGCCTGGAAATCATGTGTCACATAGTCGTGCAGGATCGTTCAAGGTCGCCGGCGAGCTAAGGTCACGCCAAAATGTGCCAGAAACACGTCAAATAAAAGATGACAATTCTCGACGTGGAAGTGTGACGTCAGGAACACAACCTAGTTACCTGTCAGTGTCGTTTGACGATGTTCGTGACGGACGGGAAAACAAAGACGCTTCCATAAGGCGAGTCAGGTCATTCAAGACGACATCTAAAGGGGTCGTCAACAGAGGTGATTCCTTCAGAAAAAAAGGAGGTCGTAACTCTGGCAGTACCAACGCCACACATTCACGTGACAATGTCGGCCATGGCGGTGGAAGCACGCGATCTTTCCCGCTCATGACCCCTCGTGTCACTACGCAGACATCACAATCCGGCAACGCCTCCTATTTTAAGGTGCTCGTTCTCGGGGCCACAGGGGTGGGCAAGTCTTCAATTACACAACAGTTCATGACGTCAGAATATGTTGCTTTCGACAATTCAATGGGTATGTATACATACTTTTAATAGTAAAACTAACTGTTTATTTAAACAATGCTGTGTAGGAATACAGGAAACACTTTTATAGTGTTCCCTCGTTTCTCATAGTCGCATTATTATTATGAAACTATAACAATATATTCGTGTTATAATGGTGTTGGTGAACTATTTTATAATTAGCCAGTTTGTAATGTATACAGCTGAAATATTTCTCTGCATTTATAGGGAAACATACAGGTCAGCTCTGTTACAATGCATTATCATATGTGGTTTCATTTTTGGTACGGGAACCACTGCAGTTCTGACTGTTTCTTTGGTGTCCTATTTTTAGAGTCATTAAAGGAACAAACGTAAGTTCCATTAACAATACTGGATTGATGTATTCTTTCTTCTCCCACTTCCAGCGATTGTTCAGTTCATCTCTTTCTTTTGCAGCTACTGTCTACAACCTACATTTATGTATATATCCTAATAATCAATGAAATAAACAAACACTATACAAAAGGATACTTTTCCTTTCAAACTAGTTTCTCAAACGTGTGAAATGTTTGTTTAAATGTTTAAGGAACCGAAATATAATTGCTTTCAAAATGTGAAAGAGGCACGCCTTTCACAGAAATACGTCAGCTTAGGCGCGAAATGGAACCAGCTCCTTCGACAACAATTCCCATTCCAAACTCGATTGGATTCTAAAGGTACAGTTTTTGGACAAAAAGCCTCTGCTCAAACACACGAGAAGTAAACTGGCGGTTTGTAAATGAATGACATTTATAACCTCACGAAACGAGCACTCTTCCCATTGTATGTGTAACGGGTAAACCATACAACCAGTGAGGTTTTGAAGGTATATATATATATATATACTGATACCCTCATAGCCCCCAATTACCAAAACTCTTCTGCGGAGTAGGCATCCCACTGTTGATTAGGCATATGTGTCCTGCAGAAGCTTTCGCCCATTCTTATTACGAAATGAAACGAAACGTTTGTAATTAGTTTGTGTTTATTTGTCGGGGTTTGACTACACAGATGTACCTGGTCAAGTACAGACAACCTGTGGTTTGTAATACCATTAGTCCTCCGGTTCTACTATATAAGCCAATTCGTATTTAGGACTCAGGAATTTCTTAAAGCAAATACCTAAATAAGGATATGTTTGTACTCCCACACTTTTGAGAACAATACACATTTAAATGTCTTTGACCTTAATATTCTATTGACCAATGCTCATTCGTTGTGTAACAAAACAATCTGCATGAGGTCTTTATACTTTGACGCTGTCCTGGTCAATCCAGTAAGATATAATTGTACCCAGGCCCTAGTCTTACGATCGTTCCGTGTTTTTTGACAATTGCATACCTAAAGTTACTTAGCTAAAGCAAATACTTCCCATGGGAAAAAGTAAGTCAAGAAACTAAGGCTTGGCTCTAGTTTTACGAACATTAATTACATTTAATTAACGGAAATATAAGATTCTCGATCGGATAGCACCACTTAAGATTTCCTTGACGTAAATAATGCTTTCAAATGAAAAACTGTTAACATTGCCTAAATCCCGGGGCCTGTTTGATACCGTTTCGGTAGAAACCATTACGTAAGGCTAAGGGCGTAAGGACTCCGCGATATCAACGTGTACCTGTATACATTGATCGGTACGAATGTTCTTAAGGCTTTCTGTAACGCATTAAGTAACTCCCCGTACCGTGTATCTCCCCGTACCGTGTAACTTCCCGTACCGTGTAACTTCCCGTACCGTGTAACTCCCCGTACCGTGTAACTCCCCGTACTGTGTATCTCCCCGTACCGTGTAACTCCCCGTACCGTGTAACTCCCCGTACCGTGTACCTCCCCGTACCGTGTAACTCCCCGTACCGTGTAACTCCCCGTACCTCCCCGTACCGTGTAACTCCCCGTACCGTGTAACTCCGTGTACCTCCCCGTACCGTGTAACTCCCCGTACCGTGTAACTCCCCGTACCTCCCCGTACCGTGTAACTCCCCGTACCGTGTAACTCCCCGTACCGTGTATCTCCCCGTACCGTGTAACTCCCCGTACCGTGTAACTCCCCGTACCTCCCCGTACCGTGTAACTCCCCGTACCGTGTAACTCCCCGTACCGTGTATCTCCCCGTACCGTGTAACTCCCCGTACCGTGTAACTCCCCGTACCTCCCCGTACCGTGTAACTCCCCGTACCGTGTAACTCCCCGTACCTCCCCGTACCGTGTAACTCCCCGTACCGTGTAACTCCCCGTACCTCCCCGTACCGTGTAACTCCCCGTACCGTGTAACTCCCCGTACCTCCCCGTACCGTGTAACTCCCCGTACCGTGTAACTCCCCGTACCTCCCCGTACCGTGTAACTCCCCGTACCGTGTAACTCCCCGTACCTCCCCGTACCGTGTAACTCCCCGTACCGTTGTTGCATCACGTAGGCAAGGAAAGCATGCTAGTAGAAACCATGAATATTATTGCGCTACAAATATCATCAAAACAACAACAAAATAATGCGATGAATACAGGAAAAATATGTTCCGTATACACACTGTACTTAAAAGTACGCTTACACCTACGGAACACCTGGTCGTATTGCCTCTGTTCAGTGTTCTTCTTTTTAATCTTTGTCTTGTCCAGATTTTGTCCTATTTAGGATTTTGATTACACTTCGCAATTCTCACTATCATCAAACACTAATTTACTTCGATGGAAGGTCAGTCAAATTCATAAAAAGGGAAGACTAACTTGTCAAAAGTCTAGCTTACATTTGAAAAAACATGAAAGATCGTTGTACGTGCTATAACATTTTTGTTCTCGTTATTGCAATTACTTTTTCCTTACATTAAACTTTTCATTGTTCATGATATTCGATTGCTTACATACAACGTAAACCCTTATTCTCTTTATAACTTTATCTCTTTAATTCTTTTTAATACATAACCTTCATAACTTTGTTCGTATGTCTCAGTTGAAAAGCCGTTAACGAGTACTTTGTTGAATTCATGCTATACACCCATTTTTACAACTGATATTGACAACCCATCGGTACAATCGCTGAATGTGAACGGTAGACGTTACGAAAGACTAGTTTGTACTCTGTATTCCCGACAGGGCATACAGTTTAACTTTTTTTTGGACGAAAATGCAGAACACACCTATGCATAATTAACGGGAACGCACGGCTTACATTTGCACCTGAGTCAGGCTATGATCTGCATGTACCTGGACTGGTGGAATGCCAAATAGCAATGCACAACAGATCTCTCTAATCAAAGACAATGAACTAGTTAAGAAAGCCGTTCCCTTTGTTATAATACTTCCTTCTGTACCCGATGTTCCGGTCATTACACAGCCTTTTCTAATAATCTCAACTTTTCTTTTATAATCGCAATTTTACGTAGATTTGGCGAGTCCGGTTTATGTAAAAAGAAATTCGGAGCTAGTCAGCCTCCTAATGAACTCTCTGATATATACACAGACGTATATGATGTACCGGAAAATACGCTGGTGAACAATGTATGATGTAAACAGTAACGGTTAATGTTGAAGTAAAACATAAATGGTAAGCAAGTGCTGGTGACACACATTAATTACGGTAGTAAATACAAGTTATAAACACTAATGATTGATATTTACAATTTATACACAATAGTGGTTGATAAATACAAGTGTACAAGCGATACGCATTATTTGTTGGTCAATACACGTGATACACATTAATGGTTAGTAAATACAAGTGATACATATTATTGGTTAATAAATACAAGTGATACACATTATTGGTTATTAAATACAATTGATACACATTAATGGTTGGTTAATACACGTGATACACATTAATGGTTAATAAATACATTTGATACACATTAATGGTTGGCCAATACACGTGATACACATTAATTGTTGGTAAATACACGTGATACACATTAATGGTTAATCAATACAAACAAGTGATGCACATTAATGGTTCGTATAAACAAGTGATGCACAATAATGGTTGGTTAAAACCAATGGCAGACTCTAATGGTTAGCGAAGAACATCAGATATTGATAAACAATGGTGACGAACACTTATGGTTTTCAACTGTTGATTTTATGTACACTAGTGTTGATAACCGGACGCTTTTATTTCTGGTAACGAACACTACAGTTAGTAAACACTTGTTTTGAACACCTGATGTATACCTGTATGCGTGTTCCTTATTTCACCATTGAAGTAACGTATACTGAATTTGACAGTTATTTGGCCAACTTTCTTTTGGAACAAAGAAGTGGGTCATTCGAATTATGCAAATAACCACAAAACGCATCCTTACTGTTTGATATGCTACAGCTTACCAATAAATTACAGACTGATATATAGGTAGTAAAATTCCGGCATCAAACACAGCCGAACAGGACAAAATAGTCACGAACTGATGACATTGCTACAATATCTGCTAGTAAAAAAAGGACATTTACCATGCCTTTTCGGGGCCCGTTTAAAACAGACACTCGGTGAAAACAAGTAACGACCTGTAAATGAGCTAACGAGTTTGTGCTCCTCGTTAGAACTAAAATAGAACGTTCACGCCTGCTGGTTTCCCTCACTCATCGCTTGGCAGCCATTGAGGCCGGTCTCTATGACAGACTAGATTCACACAGCCTCTTCTCCAATGCTAGCTCGGAGGGGGGTTCGTCCAGAGACGAGGAAGACTCAACGGTGTTTACGTCACTGTAATTAACCGATTTGCGGAGATAAATGTCTTCAAGTATCCCAATGTACATGTCTATCAAGTAATGACCATTACCAAGTGGTTAGTTAGGAAATTGAAGACAGCATTGCATATGGTGTTTGTCAAGAGTCACGTAGTTTCACTGGCATTTGAGTATGTTTTTGTACCAGTAGACCGATTTGTGCACAAGCGATCTTTTGTTAGCTTACATTAACAGCATACAAGAAAGGTGAACGCAAGCTAAGTAAAATAGAGATACCATACTATTCATTATCAGACAAAAAGTAAGAAGAGGATGATGCTGATGGTATTTTGTCGTATATTGCCGAGTGTTTTGCACCTACCCGCGAGTTTCCAAGATTATATTTCAAACATTCATTAATTTACTGTTAAGGTTTTTTCCCTATTTTTTGTATGATACATGTAAAGTCTAAAGAAGATAACATTTTTGTTGTATTTTGTATTTTAATGAATCAAAATACGAGTATACAATGTTTGCAAATGCTATTGAGAAAGACAGATGTTTTCCCCTTTGTTTTGGGTGTTTCTTAAATATTTAGTGTGCACTTGTATTACTGTGTTTACCCTACAACGTTGGCGATGTGATTTATACGTTTTTATAGTACCAACCATACAGGGTGTTGCACTTATATAATGTAGTTTGGATAAACAATGAAATATAACTGTACTAACATATTTCACACACAGCTTATAAGAATATATAATTAAAGGTGTTTGGCACCCATACTTATTGTGTGACCATTACAGATTGGTTTATTATAAGTGCTTTGGCATTTAAGATGTACTACTGGCTAAATCCTTACTGCTGAAATCTATACTGACTTTTATACCGAAAGGTGTCGTGCACTGCTATGGTACAATTGCTATAGGTAGGACATTTTTAACTAGTTCAACTTGGTATGTGGTGGACGCTCTCCAGTGATGGTTATCACATCTCACACTAACCGACAATAACTGGTACTCCAGTGAATATGCCAGTACTGCTGAGAGAGGCACGGGGTTGTACACAAACACACACAGACGTCTTGTTTATACTGATGACATTATATATGGGAGCTACGAGTATGCGCAGCTTTACTATAAACAAACTATTTACATTTAAAACAGTTGCAACAGAAATATTCAAACCGAGTCCATTCATCACTGGATGAGTTCGGATCTTAACATAATAATTGATAAAAATAAATACCAAAATAATTTATAAGTTCTTAATTACATATAGAATGTTATTGCAAATATGATTCTTTTAAGCATGAATAGCTTTCAGAAAGTAAGCTCTAGAATATATACTTCAAAAGCATGCAAGGTTATCGCTCATCTTTGCCTTCTACAACATCAAATGGCCAGATGGGGGCAGAGGTTACTTGTATTTTGATAGGACAGAGTGCTGCTCTTAGCGTGTCTATATTGGATTGACGTTTAAGATTTTCTGAAGTGTTGGAAGAAATGTTTATTTCTTTTTCAGTGTATCTTAATAATAGTTTTGTCGTTTGTAAATGAACCAACTCAAAATATTAATGACGTTGACGTACTTGTAAGTTAAAACCCCATATCGTATGTACTTTGAGAGGATTGTGTTAGCTCTGTTTAGTTCTTTTTCAGTAGCGGATAATCAAATTGATTTCGCCGTAATTAGAAAAGCAGGAATAAGTTATGATCTTGGAAATTGAGTTAAATTGATGGAAGATGAACATTCACTTGATAAACAGAGTACCGACTTTCTAGACACATTCTGTGATCTTGATTTTCTGTAAAATCATTCGAAAACGTCTTTCATGGTCTCACGTCTGGGTACACATGCATGCGTTACAACATCAGATATAATACAAATACCCGTTATTGACGGGGTACGTATAATTCGAATATTGAAAATGAGATATATATAATACAAATATGTGCTAAAATTGGGTATACATAACTCAGATACGTGCTAAAACATATATATATATGTATAATGCACACACGTGCTAAAACAATGCATATGTGATACACAAACGTGATTAAAACGGATACAGGTAAACTATCAGAGTACACATAATACACACATATGTACGCAACTAGTTCTTACGCATTTACAAACAGGGCACATGATGATATGCATGTGTACAATTTAGAGAAATGTCTTTTTTTTTTTATTTCAAATTAAAAACAAATATTCTTAAAGCATCACAACTTGTGTTTCAGAATGTAATAGTTTTCAATGTAACGTTCTGTGTCACTATTCCTTATAATAGGTTATCAAAATTAAGTTTTCATTTGTTTGTCCTCATGCAGCAGTGGACGATTAATATCTATATACTAGATCATCTTGGTTAGCAGTACTAAAACCCAGCAATGTGGCAGCACGCGAGCACGATATAGTACCATGTGTTACCTGCTGCTAACCTTATGGCTAATGTGATTTTGAGTGCAGATTAATTTACCAATAAATATATCTCGTAGACAACGGACAGAAATACAATCCATAAAAACTACAGGATTCAACACAACTCTCATGCTGGCCAGATGTCGTTTCAATTTGTTCTCATTTTGAGAAGCGTTTTCGTGCCAGTTTGCAACGGACATATCGTGTTTGTTTTAGTCATCGAGCAAAACATTTTAATGACTAGGCTTGTTACTGTTCCTGTATTCCATCTTCAGGTTCACAGAACAGCTTTTTACCCCAGTTACACTATAAATAGATGGGCACGTTTAAGCGACTGATCTGGTATTCGCTGTAATTATCCGGCCTGTTGCTATTTCTTATTTCTGCTACTGCCCTTTATTGTACTGTTTATCAACTGTATATCTCGTGTTTCCTCACAGGAACCTTTCACCTCGAGAGGTCAGAAGTATAAACCGTGTGTTCTATGTTTCAGATAGAGACGAGGAGGAAAACACGGTATCTGTTCTTCTCAACGGCGAGGAGTCCACGTTAGAATGTACAGATGGGTTGGACCCGGAAGTAAGTTTACTCAGAACCCAGCTTTCAGAAATCAAGATTAAAACTTGTCAATATGCGTTTTTCCTACTTCGTATTTCAAGTGATTTAAAACAAATAGATTCAAAGAAAATGGATTGAGTTTTCATAGTGTCAGGTGTCGTTCCGCCTCCTAACTGTCGATAATTCAATGAACGATGAGATGCAAATATATAATCATTACCAAAACGAATCCTTCATCTGGTGGTATTAGATTTCCTCAGATTGGTAACGACTCTTGGATAGCTAATGACAGAAACGTCAAAACGCACGTGACCATAATAAACAACAGCGCGTATGAATGATTATGATCGTAAATATAAGCATCTCAGTGCGGTTGATTTGATAGCCAGACAAGGCCGGAAACCAAATAATAGATACGATGCCCAGCTGGTTACAAGTACATGTAGATATAGCCGATATGATGGATATCGGTGTCGCTTCTATCTACTATATAGATGCTAAGATTTATTTATTAAGAATGATGAAAAGTCTACCCCACTTAATTTGTTTAGCTATATTGTTTGCACGTGTGAGTCTACCTTCAAAATAATTTACAAATAAGGTGTATGATTAGCGCCAGGATAACAATTTCTTTGGTCGTGAACTTTCCCATTCTTGACAGTAACATACGGGCTTGCATTAAAAATCTCGAAAAAAATCTCGATTCCTGTGGTAGGTGCCGAATATGCGACATAGACACTTATACGACAAGTTTTATTGAATGATGCCGAGGGCTACGGGCAAGATTTTTCGTTGCCTTCATGGTATCTTCCGAAAAAAGGCCATTTCGTTTGACTGCTTTACAGTTAGCGCATTATCACATAGCTCAAAACATATTTTGACAGGTTTAAAAGCAAAATTTAGAGGGCTTAATCATTTGTTGCGCCATTCACAATTTATGACGTCACGTCATTGTCCATCTTATGACGTCACAATCGATTTTTGACTGGCACAGCCAATGAAAAACGTATAGAACACTAGTGACATATGTAAAAATATTACACGGGCGAATTCACTGGATAACAGGCCGATTATGTGATTAATATAAATGTGTAGTTGTGCTTCGTGCTAAAAGACGCAATATTTTCATGTGTTGAATAAGCAAAAATATAACGGGATGAATATTTGCTAATTTATTTCATAAACAAACAAATTGTTCTTACAATATGGAAATATATTGTACTATTCATTCTGTCCTACCTTTACATTTACGTCTGCCGCCAACTGATACGCCCACCCTGATCAGCGGTCATGTTTTACGTGATATACGTTCATTCCTTTCCAATTATTTTTTTCAATTAATTCCGGGATGAAAATAAATTAAATTAATTGCATATTGATGTTTTGGGTTCGGATGTGTTTATAATGCATTAATGTCAGCTGCTTGCACAAAGAGATCATTATTAAATTTTACTATGATATATACAACCTTCCAGACAGGCTCTTTTTGTCCCAATACGGCAAATAACATGCCATTAGGCTTTAGAACGATCGCGTTATATAACTAAGACCTTACAAATTGAACCCCATGGTGTCATTAGGTTGGATCGGCTCGGAGATAAGATGGCACTTTTTTTATAATTATCATTTGTTTCTATTTCCATTTGCTTTGTTTTTGTCAGTTTAAACCATAAGTGAAATAACGACGATTGGGTTGTTTACGATAAGGGTTTGTGCGATCACGATATTTGAAGAATAAGATAGCGTTAAACCTACTGCACTAGACTACGTTTTGTGATCAACTCCAGGTTGTTCGCAATCTGTCAACTCACAGCTTAGGCGGTGAGTCCGTGGCACACATGGTAGCACATGGAGGTCAGCTGAAGGTTACAACAGTAGATTGGCAGTACCACGTCTTAGGAGTAAAACACGGTAAACCAACCAGCGACATCTGTAATTGAAAAAATAATGAAATTTCCACTTTTCGTTTTGTCGCTGTGTCTTTTCGATATTAATTTCCGCTGTGTTGCTTCCAAGTTAGTTCTGGGATAAAGATTTTTTCTCGACGACATCACTTTTAATCTAGGTTTTAGAGTATTCGAAAAAAACAAGTTTTTTATATTCACCTTATTTTTTGTGCTTTGCAATAATGGAACTGCAATAGCTCGGTTTAGGTTTGATTGTTGCTGAATATTATTACACACGAAATAAACAATAAACATTTCTTGATTTGGAAAGGAAGCAAGAGTGTCAAGCCTGTGCTCTTTAGCATTGAATGACTTCGTTTTTGAGTTTTGTGTGGGTAGATGTATCGCTGATTTATTGTACTTTCTGTTTTGTTTTGTTTCCCCATGCCCTGTCACGCCCCCTCGTGTTCAGATTTGTGTATATTAAATAGTGTAGACGGAATTCTTTTAGCTGATACATACTTTATCTCTCAACTTTGAATTAGGTCACCAAACTTACCAACTATTACTCACTATGTGTTTCTCTCCAAAGCTTCCTCGCCAAGTACATCTCTTTGATCCAATGTATTAGTTATATATTTATAACGCTTAAAATATAGTTATGCACCAGAAATAACGTGAAATGAGGAAACCATATAACTTTCAATTCATAGTGTTTATTTTGTGTTTTAATAATAATAATAAAACGATTTATTTATTAAACACATCATCAATGTAACAGAAAACAACAGAAGTATACCTAAGTGTAACCAAAACTCCAATTTATTAACTAGGGGAAATATAAACAAAGGAAACATTTACGTTGCGACCCTTGCAAAAGTACAAGGATAATAAGAACAGGTGTTCCGGCAGGGTAAGCGTCTTTAGCTTCATCAACGACATCCGTCCTGAAAACCTAGATGAAATCCAAGTAATATCACGCCCTCACATCGATCGAGTGTTGACAGCAAAAACCACAACAATAGTCATTAAAAATACGATATAGGAAGCACATATCTATCTTGCTGTGGAAAGCCAAACAAGTAAGACATTTTATAATGTATTTTATATTCTACATTTACCCTAACTTAATGTGTACATGGCTATGTATTTTTCAGTATGATCTCGAGGACTTCCGAGCAGATGCCTACATTGTGGTCTTCTCAATAGCCCATCGGGACACCTTTGTGGCTGCCACTAACATACTGAACGAGCTACTATACGACATCGGTACAGACAGGACCACCATACTGGTCGGAAACAAGGCTGATCTCGTCAGAAAACGAAAGGTTACGACCGAAGGTAATAATACATGTACAATAAACGTACCAGTTCGGAATTTGATTGATTCGTACTTTTATGTATATTATCTACCAATGCAAAACTTTTTTTTTTTTACACGAACAAATAAATGTATTGAAGAGTAAAACGATATTTAAGCCGTGATATCTGTAAAGTAACCAAAGTGACGTAGTGTGGTTTTAAAGAATTACATTTAGAACATAGAAAATCCGTATATATATAAAACACGATCTACGACATCTATCAGCACCACACGATATTTTCTTTTCTGTTCAACGATAATCAAGGCGACATTTGGGGCGAGTTGGTACATATGACAAACTGAAATAAATACAAATGGGTGCAAACAAAAGGGCGTTATAGATTTAGCAAATCAAATTTAAACATAGTTTATTCTCACAGTCAGAAGAAATTACTATTATATCATTTGTCGTTCTATTCTGAACAAAATGAAGAATATGCAATTTATGTTCCTCTTCAAATGAATAATATTCTTTTCCATAGAAAAAGAATACATAATGAAAACGTTTACTCGTTACACTGAGCAAAATACGAAACTGAATCCATTAACTCCATACAGAATAAATGTAATAACGGCGAGGTAATCCATAAAACCACTTTCGTTTTAGCACTTGACGTGCCCACACACAACGTTACATCGCCCATGCATATCACGAAAGGTTTTCCGGTCGTTTTACACTTCTTTGAATGGTTGATAACAAATTGACGTGACAAAGTTGATTTGCTTTCAAAGGTGGAAGTAACAACCATTGTAGCCTTATAATGATCTCTTTCCGTCGTCTGTTTTGGAACTAAATCAAATGAACCTCTTTCTTTATCCAGTTGGTTTTACAAAGGGATAACTGACAAGACAAAATCAGCATAGTCCTTGCTTAAAAACATCACCCTCAGAATCTCTACATAAACTCCTAGTATATAGTATTCCAAAATTTAAAACAGGAAAATTTGACCTGCAAATACGTGTTACATAGTAGAAAGCAAATTAATAATAATGAAACTGAATCCTGGTCTCAACTGCTATTTAATATTTAACAGGTGCCCCGTGTTAAATTTTGGGTAACAGTTCTACCTGGCTATCTTCTGTTTGTACACGTACGTTGCATGACCACAACATGGTGGAAATACCATTCTCTGTAACCCAGAATTGTCCTGCTCTGGTAGTCTCGCCAAGAGTATGCACAGACACAGAGGTTGAAGCCTCCTGGCACTAAAGGTACTCGGATGGCTGAGATAGCTAGACTGCCAAGGTAGCTGACGTTACAGCTCACCTTGACAACAGTTCAGACAGGATCCAAGCCCCGTAGGCACGTTATGACATCTTGATTGATGCTGAGTTTTTTGCACTCGATCACTGCAGCTGCAACCTACAGGTACATTGTATCTATCGGTTCCAAAGAAACTGTACCCTTTGCTAATTGAATAGGTGAAAAACAATCTTAAATACTGTACATTTTGTAAATTCCTGTCGCATGCCAGAAATGTTTATATCTATAATGCACGTGTACTTATGGAAAGGTGAAGTAAACTGGTGTGACTGATAGTGCTAAAATTTCCGTTAAGTGCCAAATTCCATCTAAACCTTTAACCTTAAGAGAATTTTGACCTGCCTTTCAGAAGTCGGATGGTAGCAGTTTTTAAATTGAGTAATTACCTAGGTCAGGACTGTTTTTATTCGACATGACCAAAGAGCAGCCTACAATTCTGAGTTCATCTTTAAACGATCACTCCTACAAAAAGACATCTGTCTATGATGCCGTAGAGAAAAATGTACGCGTGTTGGAAGTGACATATTATTGTTTTATTTTTAATAATGTCATCTATACCATTGTAATGTGAGGGGAACATCTATGTTAGGAATGCACCATCATTTACTTCCTTTTTAAATGTTTCCTATGTTAAAATAATGTCAGTATAGCAATATGTCACTGTAATTCCAATCATCGTTTTAGTTTATTTGCCACGAAAACAAAGAAATAATTCAATTTCGATGAAACACTAGTTAACGTTGCGCTCGCCACTGTTCGCTGTTTTTTTGCTGTATGCGCACTGTAGGGGTGTCAATGTTAAGCTGTAACTTCACTGTAGATAAACTCTAGAGATGTCCATGGTAAGCTGTGAGCTTGCTTGGTGGATATACACTATAGGGGTGTCAATGTTAAGCTGTAAATTCACTGTAGATAAACTCTAGATATGTCAATGGTAAGCTGTGAGCTTGTTTGGTGTATATGTTCTGTAGGGGTGTCATTGATTGATAAGCTGTAAATTTATTACAGGGACGTCTATATTAAGTTGTAAACTTGCCCGCTGTAGATTATCTGTAGCCATACAGATGGTAAGCTGTACGCTTGTGTGGTGTATATGTCAATAGTAAAGTGTAAGCATGTTCACTGGAGATTCACAGAAGAATATTTCGATAGTAAGCTGTAAATTGGTTCCCTCTAAATCCATTTCTGGGACAACAACGGTACGCTGTCAGCTTGTTCATTGTAAGTTTACTGTATTGCCTGTTCACTGTAGATACACAGTAGCAGAATTTCAATGGTAATCTGCGAATTTGTTCCCTCTGAATCTATGTAGGGACAACGACAGTAAGCTGTAAGCCTGTTAATTGTTGATTTACTGTAGGGATATCCTTGTTACCTTATAGTTTACACGGTGACGTAATTTTTGTCTCCTTTACTCCTTCTAGTACTGCTTTCCTCTGTTCATTCTGATCACAGATAAACGCACGAACGCATTGACAAATATTGCCTTGAAACGAACAATAAACTGAATGTAGTAACTATGTTCATGATTCTCCACTCGTAAAGATGACCTGTAATCGTGGTATCTGTTGGCAATTCTACGATTCACTCTTTGTACACGCCCTTTACACGTGGTAGTTTGTACCTTACACTCTTTAGAAATTCACTCCAGCCCAAAATGCACGCGATACCTACTTTGTCTTACGTCATGTACCTGTTCTGTTACGGTGTTTTGATCTGGGAGGTTTCAGCCTAGATCTATTTTAAAATGGTTCTCACGATTACAGATATTCAAAACTAAAGGAGAGAGTGTTATCGTGAGAAGAAAACTGTTCAGGTGCTTGATATAACGAAAAGTAGAGACAGCTATATCCATGCGTTACGTTGTAAGGATATGTATGGTGCTTAGACAACGATTGATTACGACGTCCCAACGTTTAAATCTGTCTCAGTGTTTTTATGACTGATGCGCTTATGTACGTTTAGGGAACATATGCCGATGGGCGTTAGTAGATGAATTGCATCGATAAGACGTATCTAGCAATGCTTGGAATCTTTTATAGGAATCTCAAAAACGACAGGAATGTAAAAAGTGAAAATATAAAGCGTGGCTGTGGCTGTATAATTTGTGATGTCGAGCGAGAAAAGATGTGAAAACATGTACTCTACGACATCGCATTACACAATGTTTTGAAATTGTTTCATCAGCAATTGGGAGGGCACTTAAACAGTCATTTATGTAATAAACGTTTACGCAACGCTCCTTCCTGTGTACGTAATGAACCGAACAACCAATAACCTTCATAATATGATCTAGGAAACGGCATTTAGTAACGCCATGCCCTTATTGATGTTAAGGTTCACAGGAAGTATTGATTAATGTCAAGGTCAAACATTTCGTATGCAAATGCAATAAAACGTTTGTTTGATGAACAATAACATCTTAAATAAACATGTTGAAAGAAACAGCCATTGTCTTCAATATCAGGTCGAGCAGGATACCACACATATAAAAAAAATACCATTATACAAGACAACCCCTCGACAAACTTAGGTGAACCCCGCAAACACGACTGTCCGTGAAAGAGGTCGTGAACAATTAGCTTAGTCATCAAACTCATAAACGGAGCTGGCCCATTAGTAAAGATGACAGAGCGAAACTATAGGCATTTCGATAACCTGTTTATAAGGACGTTGGAAGACTGTCTATCGACACAAATCAGGAAGTAGGTGGGTGATAATATCAGATCTTTGATGTTATAAGTGTTTAAAAAATAAAATAATGCAACGTTTAATTATCGCGTGGGTAGAAGAAACTAGGTGGATATTATTACTATCAACTCTATGTAAAAAATCTGTTTGTTGTACAATGTCATCATATACACAACTATGTATTACATTAGTCTGACTTTTGATTCATTGTTATTATATTTACGTGGTTTTCCATTGCCACTACGCCATATTGGCTATAGTTCCATTCATACTTAGTTAACTCAATGAAGAGATTTAAATGGGAAGTGAAAGAAATACCTTAGGCTCAGTTTTCTGTGGTTATAGGTTCAAGTTGATAAATGTCTATAGCCCTAGGCCACAGCACTCTTCTTCCTTTATCCATTGGAATTTTGTATTTGAACAAACAGTGCATACATTGTCGTTCAATAGCAACGGGGTAAGGCACAAAAATTGCAACAAATACAGTATCCTTTCCATAAACACGTATTGATGCAGAGTTAGGATACAAATATGGTTAAAGGTAGTAAGGAAATCTTGCACTGATATCATTTCCGAATTAATTATCACTGTGACGAAATATATCCTCATTTAAAATCAAGGGATAGAATTTGAAGAAACAATATATAATTCCAAATAAACAACTAGATCGCCATAAGCGCAATCTGATATCCTTACATTAAAGTGTCTGTCTTGATTTACAGCTAATCTTAAAACTAATAACATTATGAAAATAACATTTTAAACACAATAAGACAATTTAACCAATAGAGAGATGGTAACCTTCCTTTCTTATGGTTATATTATATTTCATTAGTATCATGCAAGTAGCTGACAATCTTTATACTAAAATCAGACAGCTACACTTTACACATAGATAAACATAACGAACAGATATGACTTGATGAATAAATATAATGGCCAGCTACATCCTACTTATGGATTAGCATCTCGCACTGTTTTGACTTGATGGTAAGATACATAAAATGGTCAACTACACTTTGAAAATAGATAGCGAAAGATAAAAGATTCTCTTTAAATACAAATTCTAGTATATTATGTACAAATGTACATTGAAACTGAGTTGTGTTTTAACCACCGAGAGGTTTACAGAACAAAAGGCTCGCATACTAAATTGGCTGGATTGTGGAATACTTTGATACTTTGAAAAAAGGATGAATGTCCCACTTTACACTTGTGGGACAACAGTTACTACTGTGTTGTATTCAATTTCGTTATTTATAGGTACATGCACATGTTTGCCCTGTATCTAAATTCTTATTAAGAACATGTACATATTGTTGTTTTCTTATTACAGAAGCTCTTGACGTTGCCTTACAATACGACGCCAAATACACAGAGACCTCGGCAGCGCTGAATCACCACGTAGACGAACTGTTGGTTGGAATGCTTAGTCAAATAAGATTTAAACTTAATCCGACACTTCCAGAACCAGTTTTAGCCGTTGAATCGAGAAAACCCACCATTTCCAGAATGTCATTTAAGGGACCATTCGACCTGTTGAGTCGATTATTTGGACGAGGAAGCCGAAAAGGTAGAAAGCGAAATGATATACGAACGTCTCAGCGCTGAAATATCATACAACGGACATGTTGGTAAATGTCAAACAACAGACATGTTGGTAAATGTCATACAACGGACATGTTGGTAAATGTCATACAACAAACATGTTGGTAAATTTCATACAACATAAATCTTGGTAAATGTCATACAACAGACATGTTCGTAAATGTCATACAACGGACATGTTGGTAAATGTCATACAACAGACATTTTGGTAAATGCAATACAACATACATGTTGGTAAATGTTATACAACGGACATGTTGGTAAATGTCATACAGCAGACATGTTGGTAAATGTCATACAACATACATGTTGGTAAATATCATACAACAGACATGTTGGTAAATTTCATACAACAGACATGTTGGTAAATGTCATACAACAGACATGTTGGTAAATGATTGAGATAACACGGTAGGCGAAATGTCATACAACTTGTGAATAACTCGACCACATATGCTGTTGGATTTATTTAGGGTGTGATTGTGACTGTGATAAACCAAAAATGGAATGGACGATGCATATGCTGTTGTGAGAGTCTTTGTTTGAATATTAGTGGCAGTGCTAAAGTCGATTCAGCAACCATAGTGCTATTCTCGAAAGTTAGACAGTTTCATGTATACTTTGTATTATAAACATGAACCGATTATACTTGCACTGCTAAATATAGTTCGAGTAGACACAGTCTGTGCATTTGGAAGTGTGTGATACGGACAAATATGTTGTTGTGATTTGTACGTTATTTTAAATATCTATGATCGGTATGTGTTCATATTTACTCGGAAGTCGTTTAAGATGTACCTGCTATTAGTTAGACAGATAAGCAATGAAGACAGTGCGTTGTATGGCACCGGGAGTATACGCCTTTATGGACTTCAGTTTTCTATTTATTTAGGATTTCTTTAATAAAAAGTGCCATGTGTGCTAATAGCACATGTATCTCCAATAATCGATTCAATTATAAATCAGTATATGTTTAATGAAACATTATTTTTGAGGTTAGAGGTACCTGGTATGTACTTTATTTATGAATTATTTGGTATTAAAGCTAGTAAAAGCATTGTATATATACAAGATGTACTAAAATGTATCGTGTTGGCACATGCGGTACAGATTGATTGACTTTATCGCTTTACCTTTGATATGTGCAGACCAGTGTAAATAAACAAATAACATAGATAAGTGTATTTTGTACCATCGTTGTTCATGCTTGTGTTGTTAGTTATAGTGCCATGTTCTTTATAACACAGAAATGTGAAGAAACTTCAAAGAGTGTCGGAGTGAGATAAACAGTAATTCGAGGGAAATATTTTTTTAATGTAAGTTTTTATTTGTATAATCTTTAACCATTCCTGTCCAAATTTATTTTCTTTTAACTGAATCCAGACACGAATGATAGGAATGCTTCCAATAAACAAAAAAATCCTTTCATCGCTCAGAACACTCAAATAGCATGCAATACGTGACTGCGATATACGCATCCTCTATTTCAGGGTCCATTGCTTCTAACAGTGACACGTTTTTAATGAATGGTAATTTTCGACTTTAATGATTAGTACCATATTTGAAAAATAAAATGGAATACTTAAAAAAACATTCTTAGTATTAATTCTTTACATAAAAGTTATTAAGAAAATGAAAGGAAATAAATAGATACAAATTGCGTAAAATTTGTTATGTACTATACATCTTTAATAATACAATTGACTGATTTATACACGATTAAACCGTACAGGTGATAATGTTTATTACGGTAATGTTTCGAAACAATGTTTCGAAATTGACACAACCAATAAATTAGAAAAGCAATGATCCCTATTTGTTTTCATTTGTCCTAATAATCAGAAAAAAAGAAAGCAATATTCCGTCAATAAGTAATATTGCTTTTAATACAAAGAATTTCATAACGGACCAGTATTAAATAAAGCCGTATGTATCCACTACAACGTCTTATACAACGCACTGCTCATGATATTCATTCGGGTTTTATTATACCTTCCATAAGCGATATTGCAGTATGAGAATTAAGGCTTCCAGTAGAGTTAATGCTGTAAGAATATGATAACTATTTTCAAACGGGTCATTCTGATATTGTATTAGATCACGCTGTTAGTCCCATTTTGAGTGACAGTACAGCTGCACCTCTGGGATCAGTTATCATAAACTTACCACACACGTATACTGACATAAGTAAAACCTGGTCAGTATATAGTATATCTGAAGGATATATGATTAACGGATCTACTTAACCAGGTAATCTGGTCATCATATACATTTGGTCGACGATTATTTAAACATACATGCCTCGGTTACAATGAAGCAGTATTTTAAGATATAAATAATTGCTAGCTGGGGATAACTTGTATTAAGCTCATTGGAAATGATTTTCACGCTGTATAACTGTTTAAACTTAAATGTTTACATTCGCTCTATGCATCCTTCTATTGCATTGAAAAGTCAAATGTTGTTATTATACTATAGAAACATTTGCTATTGTAATGTCATCTCTATTGTGATTTCATCAATTTTATTGTTGTCAACACTAAGTTTACTGTTCAAAAACTGTTGGATTGACTAAATAAAGCATTATTACTGTAACAAAATGTAAATATAAGTAATGAATATTGTATCAAATATTGTTAACACGAATTTTTAATGCTGATAAACTTTCATAAAGCCTGGATTTATGTATTTTTTTTCAGCAATAGAAATGTGTGTTATAGGACCATATTGCTTAAATATCATATAGCAATCAAAAATAAGTTCAAATTGTTTTATCGATTCGTAACAGAAGAGAAATATATTTGCCTTTATTCGTGTTATTTATCCATCGTCTTTATACACATGATTGAGATAACACCGTAGGCGTGGCAGACCTTGATTAAGATAACACCGTAGGCGTGGCAGACCGTGATTGAGATAACACGGTAGGCGTGGCAGACCGTGATTAAGATAACACCGTAGGTGTGGCAGACCGTGATTAAGATAAAACCGTAGGCGTGGCAGACCGTGATTGAGATAACACGGTAGGCGTGGCAGGCCGTGATTAAGATAACACCATAGGCGTGGCAGACCGGGTTTAAGAGAACACCGTAGGCGTGGCAGGCCGTGATTAAGATAACAAGGTAGGTGTGGCAGACCGGGATTAAGATAACACCGTAGGTGTGGCAGACCGGGATTAAGATAACACGGTAAGCGTTGCACACCTTGATTAAGATTACACCGTAGGCGTGGCAGACCGTGATTAAGATAACACGGTAGGCGTGGCAGACCGTGATTAAGATTACACCGTAGGCGTGGCAGACCGTGATTAAGATAACACGGTAGGCGTGGCAGACCGTGATTAAGATAACACGGTAGGCGTGTCAGACCGTTTATTTAATTTCAATACGATTTGTAAAGAACAGTTTGGAAAACATAACAAAAGGAATACATGCATTTAGTCACTTATATAACCTATTGTAATTATTATGAAGTTCTTTTTACACAACCAATACAATTTTTGTATGTGACGTTTCGTTGACTAGTACGATATGTACACTGTCATCTTTTTCCTAATCCATACTTACCAACCTGAAGAAAATATTTAGAAATACCCATTGATATATGTGTTAATTACAAATATGTTTAATATATCATTTAGTTATTTTACTTTGAAGTTTCGACGTATTATCTTACACCTTTGGGGTATACTAGAAGTATTTTATCACAAATACGTTTAAGAAAAATCGATGGAAGTATCATATATACATTCTATGACGTCATACGATATACTTTTAAACCAAACATGTTTTTTTTATGTGTTTTCCAATCAGCTGTATGGTGCAATGGTATCTTTTTCGCCATGCTGTATCTCTTACTGACTTGTATAGGTGTAATCACAAACGTGTAGCCTACTCTCGTCTCCCCACACATATGATGTTAATTCAGTATGCCGATAGTATATAATTCCCTATTGGATATATAGTATCTTAATTAGAATATGTTTCTGTGAAGAAAGCGGTTTTGTTTATATTCTGTCCTTATAACCTGTATTTTAAACAAACTTTGGTAGACTAGTTGTATATCGACACTGTTTTAGTCAATGATTGGTATCAGTGTTAGTTTGCCTGTGACATTATAGTTATTTCATAATTCATTAAAACGTTGAAGTCACTTTACATGGAATTCCAATTTCAGCTTAATTTTGGTTTAACATATCTTTTTCAATTATAAATCAAACCATGCTTTGTATAATGTTCATACATTGATATCGAACTATTTATATTAAAGATGTGCTCTGATTCAATTAGAGCTCACGCTATTAATTGAAGAACTGGATGTTATGTGTATATTATTGATCTCATTGGAGTACTGTAGACACTGAGAGGGCGTTATACCACATGAGAGGTCATTGGTTTGTGATATGTTTATATACATTGATATTTTGTAGATATTAAACTTATAGAATATATTGATACAAATGTTTAACAATGTTTTAGTTTTATTTACACCAATGCATCATTAATACGCCTGTCATATACATTGAACATTTTAATGATTATTATTTAATACCATCGACATCGGACTGGTAAGGATTTGAATCTGGACGAATCTACATCCTCAAGGTATGTTATACAGAACATACATTGTCATCAGTTTTAACAGCAAATATACAGATGTAGGATAGCAACATTTACCTTGTATTAGTATGACTGAACAGTTAATGATCACACTGCCGACACGTGTGACTATCCTAGGATATAGGTTTAGCTTTCAGAAATTGTCTCAAATGAAAATGATACATTGTGGAACTTATATAAAAAAAAGAAAACACAGCAACAATATTCTGAGTGAAAAGTACAACGGGGCCAGGATTTGAACCATGAACTACATATCATGCTACTCCTTAGCTACCTGGTAAGTGGACGTGCTACTCCTTAGCTACCTGGTCAGTGGACGTGCTACTCCTTAGCTACCTGGTCAGTGGACGTGCTACTCCTTAGCTACCTGGTCAGTGGGCGTGCTTCTCCTTAACTACCTGGTCAGTGAACGTGCTTCTCCTTAGCTACCTGGTCAGTGGACGTGCTACTCCTTAGCTACCTGGTCAGTGGACGTTTTCTGGCCTAGTCGTGCTGCAGTCGTGCTGCAATATCAATATCCTAGTCGTGCTGCAATATCAAAATCGAATTAAGGGGAGATTACTGTATATATGAAAGTTCTACAGTGGCATTCTCTAGTGTTTTGCCCGCGATGGGACAGGAATTCTTAAACTAAGTACATGTCAAATATGTGCGACCGTAGCCATTGTTTGCAACGGATCGAA